AGTGGACTGCAGGCCAGCATCACCAAGAACCAGGCCAGGACGCCCTCCTCTCCCTGAATGCCAACATTGGTCCCTGTCCCATTCTGGAGCTCCTCACGGCGCCCCCATCCAAGTCACCTGTGGGTGGTGCAGGTGCTCACCTGTGCAGCCAGTGATGTTCTTGGGGAGGGAGCGGTAGGGTCCAGCTACTGCCCAGATCCCAACAAGGTCAGGCCAGCATCACCAAGAACCAGGCCAGGACGCCCTCCTCTCCCTGAATGCCAACATTGGTCCCTGTCCCATTCTGGAGCTCCTCACGGCGCCCCCATCCAAGTCACCTGTGGGTGGTGCAGGTGCTCACCTGTGCAGCCAGTGATGTTCTTGGGGAGGGAGCGGTAGGGTCCAGCTACTGCCCAGATCCCAACAAGGTAGCAAGTTCCCGGTGCCAGCCGTGCCAGGGTGACATTGGTGCTGTCTTTCCCTGCTTCCAGGTCCCTCACTGGTGAAGAGGAGCCCTCCTCATGCACGTTGATCCCATATCCATCCCTCAGCCCGGGGGGGGTCTCCCACTGCACAACCAGAGCCGGGGAAGTGCTGACAGGGCTTGCCAAGAGGGGAAGAGGAGGAAGTGGGACTGCAGGAGAGAAACAGCGTTACAGGGGCCCAACCTGAGATGCTCAGGACTGACTCTAGTTTGGGGGTGAAGCTCAGGACTGACTCTGGTTTGGGAGTGAAGCTGGGAGCTGCAGGACAGTGAGCATCTAAGATACTGTCTAGCACGAGAGCAGCGGGTTGGTTCAAACCAAAGCTGCTCCCTGTGTCCCAGGTGACAACAGTGTATCACCACCATGGCCCAAAACCCTCTTGTCCCAAAGTGCTGGACAGGCTCACAGCATGCCCCATTGAGCTGCTGGGCTCAGTGTGAGTGAGGGTCCCAATAAGAGAGCCACCATCCTCAGTAGGAAACAGGCACCAGTGGGGTTGTGGGGACATGGTTTCATGGCCCTCCTGCAGAACAGCCCTGGGACCCGCTCTTGGTCCCCAGCCCCTCACCAGGTCAGAGCCAGGCTGGGTACCAGGGATGGCATGGGATGGATGCAGAGGAGCTGCCTTCCTACCAGTGTAGCCGATGGCAGTCTGAGAGGAGGTGCGATGAGGCCCAGCCTGAGAAATTATCTCCACGCGGTACCGGGACCCTGGCACCAGCCCCTCCAGGTCCAGCTGGGTGACTCCACGGGGGACAGACACATTCCTGATGATGGACAGGGACTCCGCCACTGAGAGCTGTACCAAGTGGTCTCTGCCACCGCCTGACTCCACCCAGCTCACGTGTAGCTCCTGGGGTGTCTGGCCAGGCTGCACGCTCACATTAGCCAGAGAGAGTGGATCTAGGGGGGGAAACACAGCATGGACATCCATGAGATGGTGGAGGAAAGTGACTGGAGAAGCCAGGACACAGTCTGCACCTCTAAGGCTAAAGGAGAAGTAGTGGCCAGCTCTTCTGTTGTCCTGTAGGACATGCAAGTTGCCCATACATGTTCCCAGGGCACTGCTAGCAGGCAGGTGCTGTACTGAGCAGAAAGCACACAGCTCTCTAGTTGGCTGCTCTGCTCCTTGGACAGGGAGCAGAAAGCCCAGACGGGTCTCTGTGCTTCCTTTCTTGCATCCTTCTCCCACCAGTCCCATGCTGGCCTTGAGATCATGGCCATGAACCTAGGAAGGTTCAGCTTGACTGGGGGAAGCCTGAGCTGGGGAAAAAGGTCTTTTGGGGCCCAGAATCCAGCACACAGCACCTAACCCATGACACACACTCCAATTGCCAGGGGCAGGGAGCATGCAGGTCTCACCAGAGTCCTCCCTTCTTCCAGACATATCCATGTCCCTGCCAGTCTTGCAGGCAGTGCCAGGATGCCCCATTCCTGCAGGAGGCTGGGGACACTTCTCACTCACATGTCCACTCGGTGGCAAAATGCGACGAGGATCTGTACGGTCCAGCGAGGACGGTCACCTTCAGGAAGTACTGAATGCCAGGGGACAGCCCCAGAAACGTGAAGTTGTGGGTGTTTGGTCCCACTGAGATGTTCCTCTGTGCTGAATGGCTCTTGCTGTAAAGCTGGAGGTGGAACTGGTCCACATCACCTGCAGCCTTGTCCCAGAAGGCAGAGAGTCCCAGCGGGCGTCGGGTGTTGGCCAGGGTCACGCTGGCCGGAGCCAGGGGGTCTGAGGGAGAAGAGACACCCAGGCGGTGAAGGGCAGTGGTGGTGGAGTGGGGGCCTGCATGCGCTGGTCCTGGGGACCCCCCCTGCCTGTCCCTGGTGGCCTTGGGTCAGAAATAAAACCCCGGAGCAGCCTAAGCTTTTGTTCCTCAACAACCATGGGAGCGGGTCCCCACCTTTCCTGCTGGGTGACATTTGGAAACGTTTTCCACTCAGTGATGGGTCTCTCCTGCACTGAAAACCCTTTTAGCTCCCAGCTGGCTGAATGTGCGTCTGGTTGTCCTTCCACTCTTTGTCTGTCTACGCACCCCTGTCCCTGGTTCCCCCACTCCCCACACATGGCCCACACTCTCCCTTGCTTCCATGCTGTGAGCTTTGTGCTCTCCTTGTCCACGACAGGGCTGCAGTTTGCAGCAGGGTTGAGGTAGGGGTAGCACACTCACATGTCCAGTCTGTGGCTGATTGCACAGGGGATCTGTAAGGTCCAGCCATAGAAGCCATCTCCAGTGTATACTGCCGCCCGGGGACCAGGTCCTCAAAGGTGACGTTTGTCCAGGTGTTCCCCACAGTCACGTTCCTGACCTGCTCCTGGGACTTGGTTTCCCAGAGGGTACCCGTGTACCCGGTGCTGCCAGCGGGAGCTGCTCTCCAGGAGGCTCGCAGAGAGGTGCTGCCACCCTCATTGCTGAGGGTCAGCTGCTCCGGGGACAAAGGATCTGGGAAGGGTAAGGTCTAGAGTTGCAGATATACCCCAACTGGGGTGCAATCCCAAATGTGCTGGGGCTGGAGCCCTTTCCCTGCGAAAACCCACATCCAAGTGCTCTGGCAACCTCCTGTCCCCCCTGCTGACACCTACACACCGGTTTGACAGACACTGGGCCAGCATAGGGTTCAAACTGGCATGGTAAGCGATGGCTGCTCTGGTGCTGGAGGAGGAGGTGGGTGGGATGGCCTGAACCAGGGTGGTGGAGAGGTGGTTCAGGGCAGATGCAGCCCACGCAGTGGCACAGAGAGGCGGCCGCAGGGCAGGAGGAGGGCACTGGGCTGGGCTGATTCTTGTGCTGGGCGGTTGGGATACAGAGCAGGGTCAGAAACAGCCAGCACCACCTCTGCTTTCCTCCTGAGCCTTTTGCCCTTGTATCGCATGAAGCTGCAGAAGACCTGTGCTATCAAGTACCCCAAGGCACGGCATCGCGAGGAACCGCAGGACCCAGTGCTAACCCCGCGGCAAGGGCTGTGGCACTCACGTGTCCAGTTGGCAATGCGCCGGGGTGGGGATGTGTAGGGGCCAGCCACAGTGCTGACCTCAAAGGCATAGAGAGTCCCAGGGCGGAGGCCCTCGTAGGTGCAGTTGGTGACACCGCTCAGCAGTGACCTGTTCTTCACGGGGTGCTCTGCGGGGCCGAGGGCCACCACGTATCCCTCTCCCGCTGCCTCCTCCCAGCTGGCCAGGAGGCTGTCGGAGCTCCCCTGGCTGGACAGACTCACACCAGATGGTGGCAGTGGCTCTGCAAGGGACAGGGACAGGATCACACACATCACTGCGTGGAACAGTGCATCAGGCAGTGCTCTCACCACACTCTGCAGCCTTCCCCCCCCCGAAACACAGGCAGACAGGGCTGCACGGGGAGCCTTTTGCTGCTGTGGTGCCAGGGGCTGGGTGAGTGTCTCCCCATGCTCCTTTAAGGCTCCAGTCCTTCCTTCCTGGAGTGGCAGCTCTGGGGTGGTCTCCTGAGCACCAGCTGTGGCTCCACGAGTACTCAGGTGGGCCTGGGCACAGGGAGATGCTACTCTGGGGTCACTGTGGGTGCTTCACAACCCAGCTGCTGTGAGCAGAGGGAGGGAAAGCTGCCTTGATGCCTGCCAAATGCTGAGCCCAAACATTACTGAGTTGGTTAGCAGGACCTAACACAGGAGCCATAAGGAAACACAGGAGACTCAAGGAAACACAGGAGGTTCCACTTAAATTTGAGAAGAAACTTCTTCTCAGTGAGGGTGACAGAGCCCTGGCCCAGGCTGCCCAGAGAGGTTGTGGAGTCTCCTTCTCTGCAGACATTCAAAACCCGCCTGGACACCTTCCTGTGTAACCTCATCTGGGTGTTCCTGCTCCGGCAGGGGGATTGGACTGGATGAGCTTTGAGGTCCCTTCCAATCCCTAACGTTCCGTGATTCTGTGACCTGGTCTCAATTCGTGCCTGACACTACCTGGCAGAAATTTGCCAAGGACCTCTGAGTCCACCCTCACAAATTGCTGTGGGACAGCAGATTTTGCTGCTCTGACCCACAGTCTGCCCTCGAGACCAGGCATCACTGCATGCACAGCTCCAACTCTGCCCCTGCTGCAATCCCCCCATCCACCTGCCTCCCTCGGGCACCACCCTCTCCATCTGACAGCACAAATGGCCTCAAAAGGACGCGCCTGAGCTTTCTGCTTACGTGTCCAGGCTGCTGTGCTGCGGGCTGATGCCCTGTACGGCCCAGCCACCGCCGTCACCTGCACAGTGTATCGCTTCCCGGGGCTGAGTCCGTGGAAGGTGACATGAGCGCTGTCTCTGCCGACGGAGATGTTCCTTGTGGGAGCGCCGTCCTCGCCCTCCTGCAGCATCACCAGGTAGAAGTCCCTCTCTCCCGCCGGGATGCTCCAGCGAGCCTGCAAGGAGCTCTGCTCCTCTGCGCTGCTCAGGGTCACATTGCCAGGGCTCAGGGGGTCTGGAAGGGAAGGGAGCAGGATCACACATGTCAGGATTATGGGGTGCTTTGGACCCCCACCCCAGAGCTCGCTGTCTTTGCTGTAATTCAGGACTGGGGTACACCAGCAACCCTGCCCTGCCCCACTCCTGCCACATGAGTGGATGCCATGCAAGAGACAGATTTCCCCATACACCCCCGAGCCCTACGCTCTGCTTCCTCATCTGCAGGGTCACATCCAGCCTTAGACATCCTTTTGGAGCATGTTGCCTCCATTCCTGGTCTAGCATTGCCCAGACAAAGCTGGCAGCCCTGCTGGGAAATGCTTAAAAATCCCCCTCGTCTCCATTCGTGTCCCATCATGAGCTTGCTGATATTCCCAGAAACTGGCCTGGCCGGAGCTCCTGGCCGGATGCCCCTGACTCGTGTTTGTTCAGCCAGGCAGGGCAGAGTCACAGACGGCAACGGCAGCGATCGAGTCAGACTCACTTCACACCAGAAACAAACCAGCTGGGGGTGGAGGTCTTCCAAAGTCCCAGCTGCAGAGTCAGCAGCGAGCAGGCTCCAGCCTCCCAGACTGGAGATTTGTCACCTGGTGCCACCCAGGTCCTTCCTACGCCTGACCAGGGACAGGACGGGTCACAACAGCCCTGAGTCTGCAGCTTGGCACCTCCATAATTTGTCACTCCTCACTAGAGAGGGCCAATGCTTTCTTGGCATTCAGCGTGCCTCCTGCTCTGTCCTGGAGGCTGGGTTGGCCCACTCCATGTCCCCTGGGTCTTCCTGGGAACATCTGGGACAGCAAGCCCAGGGTCAGAACTGATGGCAGTGCTATGGGTATGGTGCTGGCAGTGCTATGGGCACGGTGTTGGCAGCAAACCAGGACCGTGGTGGTGGGAGTCACCTGCTCTCAGGGCCCTTGTCAGCCTGAGGCCAGAATGTGGAGGAAGTTGGGTTGAAGCTGGGGTGTGGGAGGGCTACCTACAATTTCTTGACCTTCCAGATACGTCTGCATAGCACCCAACACTTAGGAACATCCACCAGGATGCTACCAAAATCAAGTGCTACCAGAATATCCCCTCGACAGCAATCAAAGGGGACCAAAGTTCCATTTCCCTCCAGGAACCTTCAGTTCAAACCAGCTAAACTGCCATCCCCTTCCCCCTGTTTTCTCTGCAGCCCGTGGACAGCCCCAAGACACACGAGAGCACAGCCCCAGCGGCACCAAACACCAGTGGGATCTGCTGCCCTTCCATCCTCCTCCCTGGGAGAGGCCACAGGCTGATCCCAGCACATCCCAGGGAGAAGCACTGGGAGTTCCCAGGCTGGCACTGCCCAGGGACTCACTGGCCCCACTATCACAGTGCCTCAGAGCTGGGTCCTGGTGTGGCTTTTGTCTGGGTCCAAGCAGAAGAATTGTCCTCTGCACCCATGTCTCTGGCAGGAGATCTCTGGATTCAGAAGCTGAACTAGAGGCAGGGTGAAATCCAGGGCCACCAAGGTCCTCCCCCACGCCTGGACATCATACTCACATGTCCAAGCAGTGGCATTGGGACCCTCGGCCGTGTAGGGCCCAGCCACGGTGCTCAGTCCCAGCTGGTACTGGGTGCCAGGGTGGAGATGCTGGAAGGTGTAGCTGGTGAGGCCCCTCCTGGCTGACAAGGTGGTGGACACCGTCTGGGTGAGGAGGTTGTGGAGCACGAGGTGCAGCCAGGCGGCCCCTCCAGCGCCCGCCCAGGAGGCAACGAGGCTGGTGCTGGAGCCCGGGCTGAGCCTCAGCTGCGTGGGGATGGAGGGAGCTGAGGGGAAAGGCAGGAGGCAATGTGGTTCAGCACCGGGGCTGGAACTCCCTACACCCCCTCCATCCCCAGGGTTTCCTACACCCACAGCTGCTCTCCAAGCTAGCATGGGAGCTGAAGGGCTGGCAGGGCTTTGCCATGTCACTTCCCAGGCAGGCTGAGGGGCTCTTGAGGTCCCTCCATGCTGTCACACCCCTTCAGGCCCCAGGGCAGAGGTGGGTGGAAGTCCGGGTAATGCAACATTTCTGCAGCTCCCACCAGCCAGGACCTTTTGCCAGCACCCCCAGACCGCCCTTCTCCCATGGGGACATGGAGCACTCAAATCCAAGCTGCAAGGCTTGGGACAAGGTTGTCCCCTGGCCCAAGCACACTGGGCTCACACTGAGGATGTGAAAAACTCCCAGCTGCTCCCCATTCTTTGCAAACTCCCCATCCCGAGAGACCCTCCCCATCTCCACCAGCCCAGCTGACACTTGTGCTGCACCCCTCCTGCCAAACCCTTTCTCCCGTCCCTTCCCTCCTGGGCAGGCACCCCCACTGCTCCCTACCTGTCCACTGGTGGATACTGGTGCTCGCCTGCCCGGGTCCAGCCAGCGTGCTGACCTTCAGGGCGTACTCGCTGCCTGGCAGCAACCCGTCAAACAGGAACATGGAGGTGTTTGGCAGGACAGACGCGTTTCTCACCAGCGTCTGGGAGTCGCTGTGGTACAGGGCGAGGTGGTACCCGTCTCGCTGTCCATGGGCGTGCGTCCAGGAGGCGAGCAGCGCTGCAGGGCTCCCATCGCTGCTCAGGCTCAGATTGCGGACAGGAGAAGGACCTGCATCGGACATGGCACAGATGCATGATGCCTGACCTGCAGGGTGCTCAAGTGCTGGTGGGAGTCTGGTGAGGTGCTGCCAGCCAGCTCCACAGGACCCCATCCCCCATCACCTCCCTGCTGGTCCCCCCACAGGTTGTGTGGGCTGCACCATCCCCTTTGGATCAGTCTCTGCACGGTCACTCTGAACCGGGCTCGGTCAGGGACAACACAACAGATGTACACTGAGAAAGGTGAAGCTGTCAGCTCTTACATGTGCTGTCAGGTCCTCTGTTCCTGCTGGCCCTGTGGGTCTGGCCACCCACCTTCCCAAGAGTCCCAGCTCCTGCTCCCTGCAGCCACCACTGCTGCCTGACACCATCCCGTCTGCTGGCCAGCCCCCTCCCTCCAGCTCTACTCTCCTTTTCCACATTTTCCACCTTTACCTGCACTGATTTACCCAAGGATCTTTTGGAGAGCTGCAGGCAGGGAATCATCCTCACCTGAGGCGTGGGTTCACCAGCCCTGCCCTCCTCCCGAGTCCTGGGCATCAGCATAGTCAAGGCTCGGTGGGTGCGCCAGTGACTGACAGAGATGTACCCAAACCATCAAGCAGATGCTACTCCCTTGTAGATCCTCCTAGAACTCCAGGCATGACTTTTTCCAGCCCTCGGCTCTCTGCAGTTCACATCATACTTTGGTCCATTATCATCCCAGCAGAAGATATAGCCTGAACCCTGGCTATGCAAAGTGCAGGGGCAGGACCCTCCGTCCACACTAATGAGAGAACGACCCCCAGGGCCCTGGGGACCAGGTAAAGACCCTAATTTTTGTGGAAGTGATGAAAGACCTGACCTCCCCATGGACTCGCAGACCTGTACTTTGCACCCTCCAAAGCAGTGTGACCATGTACCAAGACCCTTTGACAATGCAGTGCCTGGGAAACCCTTACTTGTCTGTGCTGTGACTGTCTGGCTGGTGGTCTCCATGCAGGCCAGCGTGGCTGTCACCTCAATCTCATAGCGCATGCCAGGGCTCAGCCCTTGGAACAAGAAGCTGGTGATGTTGGGTCCAGCAGATCCATTCTGCAGCGGTGTGCCCGACTCCAGGGAGGAGAGGGCGAGTGAATATCCCTTGGCACCCGCCTCCGGCTCATCCCAGGACAGGAGGAGGGAGTCCGACCGGCCGTGGTCACTCACGCTGATGTTTAGGAGGGTCCCTGCAAAGGCAAAGCCGAAACCTTCAACAGGGAGCTGTGGTGCTGCGGGGGGGCAGCATGCAGGGCCAGGCTCCCCAGTGCACCCACCCTTGGCCCAAGCCACCACCATGGACAATGCCCATCAGGGCCTTCAACCCCAAAGGCTCTGAACAGCCTCTGGAAAACACAAGCAGGTTCAGAAAATACCATGATCAAAGGCACTGTATGAAAGAGACGCTTCATGCTTAGGAGCATCTCTTCCATTGGAGAAAGACCAAAAGACTTCAGGCCATCACATGCTTTGCTCTTGGTTTATGGGAGAAAAGTTGCCCTGGCTGGGTATAATATCTTGCTTGTAGTATTACACCTTACAGTACGTTATAGTATTTCCTTGGTTGATTTGGGCACCCCAAAAGATGTTGAAGTGCTCTGTGTCCTACTTGCAGAAGCACGACATGGCCATTAAGAGAGCAGGATGGATATGGCAGAGGGGCTGTTAAGCTCTCTGCAACAGTCGCTAGGACAGGAGAAGGGTAAAGGCTGCTCTGGAGGGATCCAGGCAGGACAGAGCAGAGGGTTGTTGGGGATGAGCAGGGGATGTTCCTGCCCTGGGACTTCAGCCCATCCCCTGCTAGATGGAGCTGAACTGAACCTGGACTGGCAGAGTAAAGAGATCAGCCTGAGTCCCTGCAGCACCCACATAAACCAGACCCACTGCTGGGCCTGACTATCCTGGGGCTTGTCCTGCCTGGACCACAGCCTGGAGGGAGTCACCAGTGCAGGGCATTCAGGGGCCCAATGTGCCACCCAGGGGCCTGGTGGCTCTGCTGTGCCTTGCCCTCCTCAGTGCAGAGATGATGCGGGAAGAGCAGGACGCTGTGTGCACGGAGGAAATGCGGGGCCAGATTTGCACAGCCCTTGCTGAGCTGTGTCCTTGCCTCGGCCCCACTGCAGCAGCAAGGTCAGCACGCTGCGGTGCTGTCTCATCCAGATGGAGAATATCTGGAGACACAGCAGCAGTGTACGGGGCTTTGCCTAATTGGTGGCTCAGTGGCCAAATTCTGTGTTGAAACCCTGCCCTTGGAGCTGCTCAGGAACCACCTACACAGGAACCAGACAGAGCCACTCTGTTGGGACAGGCTGGCAGTGTCACCTTTGCAGGCTCCGTCTCCGCCTCCCCCCGCAGATCATCACCATCCCCAGGCTCGCTGTAAGGAGGAGCTCCCTATTCCTGTCAGCCTCTGGGAAACATCAGAGCAGCTCTAGTGCTAACGAGACACTCGTGTAATAATGAGCACTTAAAATTTATGACATGCAACATGTTGTAACAGGCTTACATGTGATCTGGCAGGGCAAGAAAGATTTCAACAAGCACAGCTCTTGCCCCAGAGGTCTGCCCAGGGGCTCCCTTTACACGGAAAAGAGGAGCAGTGTGGAGCGAGCCCCTGGAGCACCTTTGGGACCACTCAGGTGTTGTGTGGCCTTCCCATAAAGCCAGAGTGTTTCAGAACTCAGCAACTTCTGTTCTGGGCAATGCAGTCGCCTGGAGCCTGCTGCTGTGAGCTTTACTCAGCACACGGGGGCAAAGGGAACTGGGGAAGTGAGATGGACACAAAGCGGGAGCACCCGGTGCCCCTGGGAAAGGCCTCCTCAGTGCCACACCTGAGCAGTTCAGGTGCAGATTTGGGAACAGACTGCTTGGGAAGTGTTATCTGAATGGAGCTGGGTGTCCGCAGGCCTGGTGTCTACACCTGGGCCTGGGTGCCCCTTGCTGTCAGCAGAGACCCAGTCCCAGCAGCGTGAGCAGCGCAGGCCATGGCTGATCTCCTGAAGGCCGCCAGCGGGATCGCGCCCTGCCTGGAGTTCAAGCAGGGATGGTTTTTCACTGCGGGCTCTTTCTTATCTCATGAAGGTATGAGTTCTCCACCCATGTTTGTCTGCTTCTCTCGGGTTTCCAACAGGCTGCATCACCTGCCTGCATCTGTCACTTGGCAGTCACCTCCTTCACCTCTGCAGTACGCAGGCAGTAATAGCTACAGCAGCCCAGAGGCATCCTCCAGCCCTGAGGCCCATGATCCCAGCTCTTCTCATGTCCCCATAGATAAGCTCTGCTAACCACATCACACCCAGACACATCCAGGTACACCCCACACCCTGCCTGGTGCCTGCAGATCACCTGGGAGCGTTCTCCCTGGCACAGGCCAGCACCCTGCAGGCACCGCACTGGCTCCATGCACACGGCAGCGCTTGCTGGCTGCAGGGTG